GGGATCGTCCTGTCAATCTCCAAGAAACATCCGCTTTTTGGCTGTGTTCATGTATGGCCTGATGACCCATTCATTTTGAGCTTCATCTTGATCCATTGTTCCTAGTTTGAGCTGTAAACCAAAAAAAGAAACTGATCAGGTTCTGCTCTTTAGAGGAGTAAGTCTTCGATGCCATCAATCAAATATCTATTAAGAATTAGGGTTCCATCTTAAAATGTCAAACTTATTAAGAGGAGTAATCCAATCCTTTATAAGTTGGTTTGTGTTTACATCTTTATTCGATGTGGGATTCTATCCCTTAACAATATCAACCAACATATGCATTTGAAAGGAACCAAACACTTCTGCCTGAGTACATGATGAAGTTGTCCATTCAATTAAATTGATTAGAATCAGGTCACATAGGAATAAGCCTCGAGACATGTAAACAAAAGGAAGCAATAAAGAAATGAGAACCTTCTACATTCAAGCACCAATCCCTCGAGCATTTGGTGAAGTGGAAAACGATTAATAGAACCATGCCAGTGAACAGCTAACCCAGCATCAATTATAGGACGAATAATTGCACATTGAAAGTGTCATAATATTGAGGCGGCCGTATGTATAAGGGACAAGCAAGAAATAAAGTGTCTCATTGGTATTTCAAACAAATATTGGTCAGGACTTCAACCAACTGACTATATTTCCTGAGGAAGTGATATGCATTATACCTAAAGAAACCTCACTCCACAGAAAAGGGGAAAAACTACTAACCGTTCCATATGTAGATGTTAATTCTTGATAATCACAATCAAGAAACAGTCTCTCTAGGAACTCCTGTCAATTTCCTTCTAAAAATCCTCCACTATTGCCACTATGCATCACTCCACCGTCCGTACCTCCCCAATTTCGTCACCAGCTCAACCACCTCAAAAAGTCCAACCTCCAATATTGCCAAAACTTTGGAGACCCCATACAACTTTTTTTTTGATAAGTTGGAGACCCCATACAACTCCCCTCACCTATTTATCTTTGATTTCTCCACTTGAATCAACACCAACTCCACGGCAGATTCTCTAGCCAGTAATGAAAAGAAATTAGAGTTGAACTATCTCCCTACACTAATTTTCCAGAGCAACTCTTCAGTTTCTGCCACATTACCTCCTCTGTTGTCATTGATCATTGGTTCTCTTTCCAAAATGTGACACCTAGTGTAAACGTTGGGTTGGACAGTTCTTCAACACCCCCCCTTCCCCATATCTTTTTTATTTCCCTGTGGGGGGGTTTAGATGGAAAACATTTAAGCATCTTTCAATACTGTCGAGAAAAATGGTGATTATGATAACGACAACAATTATAAAGGTGACTGACTGGAAGAGCTAAACTACAAGAGACAAGAATTTTACATGGTTCGATAATTTTTTCTACCTACATTGAGACATCGCAAAATCTTATATCAGATATTACAAGTATTGCTCTCCATCTCGCAGGAACACAAACCTCAATTACACCTATTATACTTTTCACCAAAGCACACACTCGCTTTATGGTAGAATCACTCTTTTCTATCAAGAGCTTCCTACACTCAAAGGAGACTATGTTCTAACTCTTGTTTCACCAATAGTGAGTAAACACCTTGATTCATAATGTCGTAGAAATGGTTAATCCTTGGACAAGTAGAATAATTAAAATTAATATGACAGTATGCCAAATCCTTAGGCAATTAAGATAATTAAAAAGGCATGGCTTTACCACACACACACACAAAAAAGCGGAAGAACCCAACCTGAAGTGGCTTAGTTTCAGAATTATTGGAAGAGTGATTGACATATGAGTTGAATATCCTTCATGTGGAACTTCAACGATTGAATTTCTTCTAAATAAATCCACTCTCGTTCTTAATTATGCAAGAGTTAGGTATGCTCATCATTGCCTAAGTCTTAGGCAAACCCATCATACTCATACCTCTAAATATGGGTGTTTGATCTTCATCGTTCGTACAACAACAATAGATAGAATAGAGAGCCTCCCTTGAGTATAGTAAGCTCTAAATAGAAAAGTACTTCTCTAAAATAATTTGAGTGTGTGCTTACTAGGGAGAACTTGGGTATAATTGGAACTTGTGTAATTGAGCAGATTGAGAGGAATTTTCAATTGTAAAAGTACAAAAATATGCTTATAATAAATCATAAACCATCTTAAGCATTTCATAATAAAACAAGTTACCAATATTAAAAGTTTAGCATGCAAACAAACAAAAAATATATCAATAAAAGAAGGAAAAAAAAACCCAAAAGGTTAAGGTCAATACTAATTGTTCGGAAAGACAAATGTGCAAACAACTTAGTCATCTTGAGGCTTATTCCTAAACCTTTATGTATAAGCCTCTCTAAGTCAAGGCGTAAGCCTCACAAATGGCACTTAAGGAGTGCAATTCAAGGCGTTTTATGAAAGCCTCATGCGAGGTGGGATTAGAGGCATAAGCCTCAAATAGTTTTTTTAAACAGTGACTATTCTAATAATACCAAGAGAAGAGATGCATCAGAAAATTTTGCAGCAAATTGATGAGAGTACTGGAAGCAAAGTAAAAATCAGATGCCAGAAAAAATAAATATTGTCAACAATGAAGATGAAAGGCGCCAAGTAGAGATTTTAATAAGGCTACAAGCAGTAGATCTCTATTCGATTCTGGGATACTAGACTCTCAATGCTACATACATGTCCTAGCAAAGAATGATTTGACAGATACAAGGATTGAAGTGCCGATATTGTTCTAATATGCAATGATGATAATAGCACCATCAGAATAAGTACTGTAAAGATCAGATTGCTCGATAGTATCAGAACAATGGGTAATGTACGCCATACTCGTGGGTCATGGGTTGAAGAAAAACTTAGATCACTTTGGAAGGATTCTCAATACTACAGTAAATGGTCCATAGTGGTGATGAGAGGAGAGAAGTTGGGAAATCAGTACGTGCTACTTGGAGAAACTATATTACAGGTGGAGTGTTG